GAGAGAGAGAGAGAGGCTACTTTAAAGCTATCTAAATTGAGGTTTGGACTCCCCATTTATAGTGGTACCAAGCCTAGGGCATGCCATTTTAGATAAGGATTCAATTTGCACCATTGATCTATGGGAATTGTGAGGTGAAGAAAGGATTTTAAACTTAAGCCTCCATTCCCTAAATCAGCCCTCATAATTGAGGGAAGAATTCTAGAACTCTTACCCTTTAGTCTCCTTGACTCATTCTCTCCTTACCAAAATAGGAATGTTTTTTATCCAAAAAGATTATCCTTTTATCTTAAAATTCTTCTAGAAGGTCTCTAGAATTCCTAGGCCTTCTAGAAGATCTTTTGCATACTTCCTAAAACCCACCAAACATCTTAAAATAAAATTATCCATTTTAACATAAAAAGTAAACATATGGATTTATTAGGAAGAGGGGTGTGTGGGCCTATAGAACCTAATGGGCCCATGCCTCACACTTATTTGGGCCTCGTTCCATTTTGAAGTGGACCCAGATAATTTTAGTACCTCAAACGAAAATTTCAATTTCAATTTAGTATTCTTAAATGCCTATGCATTTTGTAATGCTACAAAATACATTTATTTTGATCTAAATTTAATGCTAAAAATACAATTTTTTTATTTAAAAATTCATGTTGCAAAATAAAAATAGTAGATGCATTTTAAAATTTTTTTTTGTGATAAAAAATATTTAAAACATAATAAACATTTCCAAAGAAGAATTGGATCAATCGGGTAAGGAAAATGCAAATTACTAAGGCACTCTACTTGTGCTGACACTCCATCAATGCTAATACCTGAGGTCCTCGGGCTATCTTCTCAAACCAACTCAATGGAACCCATGACCGAGAGTCAATCGCAGGGGCTCTTGAATGGTCCATCATAGTTGGCCAATAAATAGTGGGAGCAGTAGTCTAGTTTATAGATTACATGTTCTTCTTAAAAACAAGTCATGTCTCGCATGTACATGCACTTTCTCGCAATAGTGCATGGGGTCTCCTCTTCAGTACATGTCACGTCCTACCCTTACGGGTCGCTTCTCATAGATATGGCTATTATGTGTACATAACGTGTTGAAATAACATTGAGAATTTGGCCCTTGCCCTTACAAGCAGCCAACCGCACACAGGAGACCAGACACTTCTTCGCTAAAACCACCCTGGGTATCTCTTTTTCTTCAACAAGGTCTAACCATGCAAACCCTATGTGGTTCTGTTGTATGCCCAACGTTAAAGAGTTTTAGACTCTATTCTTGGACCCAGACCGCCCAACCTGGGTTGAGTTAACAAATATTTACGAAGCATGCTTCTCTAGTCACATAGGGACCACACTCCCAATGGAGTACAATATCACAATAATCACTAGTTTTTACATGCTCTTAAGGCCTTTGAAGGCAACATACTCCAACACGGGATTGACACCTAGGTTGGGAGATCCCTGTAACTATAATATATTAATATGTACATATGACATTTTGAAAATGCATTGATACATGGAAAATCTTACATTTGTAATGTGTTTAGCTATTTTCAAGCATAAAAAAAGAAAAGAAAAAGTGTTTAGCTATTTTCTTGAACCTTTTGTTGATAAGTGATTCAACTCATGAAACTGCTCACTATTGTGCTTTTTCTAAGTAGCATGAAATTACATTCAGGTGGAGTTTTTCTTTTTTTTGGGCAAGTGGTGGATTGATTCTAAGTCCTCACGCTGCTTAACTTGTCTTATTTCGTTGCTTGTTTTAATTGGAATACATACACGATCTTTATTATATTGTCAAGTTGCAAGGCGTGTAATCTTGAAGTATTGACCCTCAAAGCTTATTAACATGAAAATTTTCTTCTTCACATGAAACTCTCTCTATGTTAATATGATTTGGCATTTGACAATAATTTTCTTCCTTGTAAAAGGTCCTGCTTTACTCGTGGATGTACCCAGAGATAAAAACATAACTGGTGAGGTTTGACTGAAACTTTCAAATAATCAATTTTCTGTGTTTTTTTATTGTTAGTAATCAGTATTAATTTCTTTGTGCTAAAGACTTGTAAATTGATTTTGTTTTGAATACTCTTTGAATCAGATTATTATGATTTCTTCCAGTCAGCATTGAGTGGCAAACATTGTCCAGGGACTGCATATTAACCTAAGGAAACAATTTCTAATAATTTTCAGTAAGCTGTACAAAGTTTACAGTCCGTGTAAGCTGTACAAAGTTTACATTCCTTACTTTGTCTTTGCATATAGAATGTAAACCTGTACAAATACCTGTACATAAAAACATAAAAGGTCAGATACATGCCTACATTAAATAACTACATGAGTTGGTTTTCTGCAAATGTTGAGAATAAGATAGTTAGGTTGCTTGAAACCACCATCAAGTTGCTTTGACTGCATTTGAGCAGCCTGTAGCATTGTATTGCACCATAGTTGTTGGAATCATGTAGGTCAGGTCACAATTCTGATCTAGGATCGCGATCCTTCGATCCCAAGAAGGGATCAAGGACGCGATTTGCTAAAAATCAGGGACCTTGCTCTTAGTCACTTGCGAATTGAGCTCCATATCTAAACCAAACATGGTCCATGAATGCCTTGATCTGAAGGCCCCCAAAATATCCTTTTTTGATTCACAAATTTCACCCCTCTTTCCAAAATATCTATATACTTCCTTAGGATTGTAGAGAGAAAAAGAATTAGAGAAAGGAGGGGACAACCCACCTCCGAAGCGCACGTATTCCTTAGGACTGAGAAAACAATGTATCATTAACTCATATCCTATGTAAGGAGGAGATGGAATGGGGTGTTTCCTCTACAATTGGTAAGCTTTGGGGTTTTAGATCTCCGATATGTATCCGAGGCCTTTTTTTTTTTTTGGCAGAATGCCGTCCCTACTTCTTTGGGTAGTGAGGTGGGATCTGACCATTTCTGTCTTTGTTCTTTTTAACACTGGATCTGATGAATGCAGTGTGAAACAATACTAAGGGCCCATCGGTATCGGGTGTCAACGAGTTCATATTACATGCATGAATATATACATGTGTATGGTTGAATATATTATATGCATGCACTCACTTCATATGATGTTTGTGATTCTGTTTATTTTTTGTAGTTAATCAATCTAAATGCGTGCATGCATGTTGCCTTGTCCATGACTTTGCATTTGCATGTACATATACATCATTTTAAAAATCGAAATCAGTCCTAACTAGGAGCGAGCTAGACCTAGTCATCAACTCAGAAAAACTCGATGAATTTTCAAACTTTTTTATATGAGAAATAGAAAAAGTTGGAATAATCAATTTAAAATTTAAGCAGTTAGTCTAAGGCATTATTATTCAAATTGAGATGAAAAACATAGTATGTTGTTTTGTCGATATCCAAGAACTAACCTGGAGGAAGAATTTGTTAGTGCGAAATAGGGAGTATGTTAGTGACATATGTCCATCATGCATACACAATAAAATGCAGAAAATGCAAATATGTATTTGATGAAAAAAGACTATAACTATTTTATCTTTTATCTGTACCCAAACTGCTGACCCCAAATAATTGGGATAAAGCTTGGATGATGATGATCTGTATCCACTCTCTAGTCTGGAGGAATAATTTGTGTGTTTGAAAAAGGGGTGATGTTTGGTGACATACGTCCCCCGTGCAAAAACAATAAAATTCAAAATATGCAAATATTATGTAAATAATGAAAAAGGTTACTATATTATTTTATCTATACTCGAGCACTAGCTTGAAGGAAGAATTTGTGTGCGCTAAAAAGGGAGAATGTTTGGTGACATAATTCTACCATACAAACACAATAAAATGCAAAATGTGTTAATGTATGTGTGTATGAGAGAGAGAGAGAGAGAGAGAGAGAGAGAGAGAGAGAGAGAGAGAGAGGAGGGAGGGGGGGTGGGGGGGGAGGAGTAGTAGTAAGCGACTATATAGTGTGTGTAGTAGGTAGGGTAGGGTGGTACGTCGTACGTAGTAGTAGT